CCAAGATACACAAAGGTCTGGGTGACTCTGATGATCTCACCACAGGCATATATCAACCAAGCAAGGTCTTCTAGTAGACTCCTGAAGCCCTGGATCATCGTCTTGGTCCAGAAGATCCTAAAATCATCAGCTTTGTCTTGCTGATAAAAGCACTAAGAGCTACCATTAAGGTCTCTTGAGAAATAGACACAGTCCAAGCACATCCACACCTAACTGGCACAAACTCTAATAACTTGCAAGAGTGCTTGCTATCAAGGTTTTCTTCGGACCTGAAGGGGTGAAGTACTGTATAGCAGGGAAATTGTACGAAATAAAATAAAAATAAAAATCAATTAAAGTCATTCATTCAAATTACCTGTTTAATTACATAAGAGGCAAAATAATAATTAGCAATATAAACAAGAAAGAACTAGTCAAAAACACACAAATCCTCCAAAAAGAATTATTGTGGCCAATATTGTTTACAAGAGCTGATCTACATTAAGTAAAAACATCATGAGTAAATAAACAACCAACAGTGAACTAACATAAAATAGCAAAAAAAAAAAAAAAAAAATATGAATTTACTACTATAAGCAATCCATTGACATCATTTAATATGAATATGAATATTCGTCTTTTTGAGTTTAGTTTACCATTTGATGTTACTTCATAAAACTGTTTAGGTACCTAAAGAATAAATGATTGTCTGAGTTTTTTTCAATATCATCATATAAGTGAAGGAATCTAAAAATATGTAAGATGAATAATTATCCAGAATAGGAACACAGATACAGAAAAAAAAACAATGTAGGGGTCATAAAAATATCAAACAACAAAATAGGGCTTCAATACAAAACAAATGTAAATTTCCATTAAATGAACAAAATATTACATGGAGAAAATAGTTGCTCTTTGACAGAGGACTTGGTATCACTTGACACATTCCTATTCAGAAAAAAAATAAATCAAATAATGTTACAGAAATGCACTTGTAAATATGGGTAAGTGTAGAAAAGGTATGAATAAGACTGGATATCTTCACAATACAAGAGATGTATTTGACCAAATTTCGATTAAGTCTTCGAAATTTAAAATTTAAAATTAAAAAAAAAAAAAAATTCTGACAAAGACAATCAAAACAGGTCAAATACATCTCTTGTATTGTGAAGATATCTAGTCTCATTCATACCTTTTCTACATTTAACAATATGGATATGGTTCATGTGTGTGTTGGTAGTAATGAAAAGTCTGCCATAATTACTTGACAGTAATAGGGTAAAAACAAATTGCATGCAAATTACAAAGTCATTTTCTAGAGCAGGTTCATAACTTAAGATCCATCATATTTGGTATTGATGGATTTCTTGTAATCTTCAGTATGCATTAATAGTTGTCTTAATTGGCAGTAGTTAATGACAGCAAGAATACTATGGATGGGGAGAGCATGAGGCATCCCAAGGAAATTGAGAGGGTATCTATGCTTTTGCCATTTTTAAGAGGATTTACCCCATAAAACCATTGTTAATGTTAATGTTACAATTATTGTTATTGTTATATAAGAAAATATATACATAGATACACATACCTATAAATAAATAAACTAAATGGCAATAAATAAATAAACCAACCATTGAACTGGTACAGGACATTGTGGCTTTCCACACACAATGTGAGCGAAGACAGGAGCGAGAGGGAGATATTTACGAGTACAAATTTCATCCGAGCCTGACCTCAAAGGTATAGTCAAATCCCCAGGCTTTTCCCCATATAACGTCATGTGCAAGGCTGAATGCTTATAAATTGGTTCTGCTGACCATCCCTGCTGAAATTGGATAACAGATCATTTCCATTGATACCAAAGTCTATGGATCTTAAAATGCAGATATATTTAGAAACTTTTATCTTAGAGGTAATTTCCTATATTACGTCCGCATAACCGATGTCGACGATTTTGGTATCGTTGGATTCCTCTCACTCTATACAATGCAAATATGTTGGTTTTATTGCGCGGAAAACCCCGTTAGCAACAAACTTGGCCCCAATAGCGGGGGCGACGATGTCGGAGTGGCGGACGTAATATATAAAATTACCCTAATAATACAACCTCACAGTAAAAATAATCATGGTTATTCACATGACTTTCCATTGCAGGGGGCTGTGCCCCCTGCGACCCCCACTGGGGGAGGACTGCCACCCCCCAACCCCTGCCGAGGAAACAAAACCTCCACATTCATGGCAGGATAGAGCGCACACGAACTAGATGCATCGAAAAAGGCGTAAAACCCATCGACCCGACGAAAGCGGGTCACTACCGCTCTTCTGTTCATGGTATACCTTGTTCATCCTGAATATATTACAAATGTCTCTGTATACAATGCTGATTATGTCAAGGTTAGTATGCTCATTCAGTGGGAATGTTACGTGGTCAATGTAATATGTCCGTCGCTCCGAGATCGCCGATAACTGTGTAACGCTCTAGCCTGCCGGGAAGTTGGAGGTTTTGTGTCCTTGGCTGGGGTTGGGGGCGGCAGCCCCCTCAGGGGGGGTTGAAGGGGGCTGTGCCCCCTGCATTGGAAAGTTATGTGAATAACCATGGTTATTTTCACTGTGGGTTATATTATTAGTGCTATTTAACCCCGCATTTTCCCTGGAACCTTTCATGCCCTCCCCTATTCGGGCCAAGTTTGCGCGCAATAAAAACTATATATTTGCAATGTGGACAGTGAGAGGAATCCAACGATACCAAAATCGTCGATATCGGTTATGCGGACGTAATATGGAAAATTACCATCTTAACAATCAAAATGCCTCAAAACATTTAAAAGGAATAAATAACAATAAGACTATCTAAAGAAAACAAAACACATGTATCAGGAACACCAAGTTCAACACCAAATAGTAAAGTAAGCAAATACACATTGCCAAAATGCTAAACACCAGTAAAACGCTAAATACTAAGTTCTTCTTCTTCTTCTTCTTCGTCTTTCTTCTTTTATAGGGTTTTAGACAAATACTACGTTACAGTTGAAAGGAATACTTACACTGTAAAGTTTAGTTTTTTTCGCTGAAAAGATTCAACATTTGTGTTCCGGAGCGAACATAAACAAGTCATGTGATGCTCCATTCACCAACAATTTCCATCAGAATCTTCAATAAAGTATTTCATGATAATATTTTGATACTTTCGACTACACTATACACGTTGAAAAATGCTAAGTCCGGATAATTGTACAAATATAAATTCAAATATCTTAAGAAATTTTTAACTCCAAATCCTAAATTATGTCATCTCGAGTTTTGACAATATCAAATATTTTCCATGGTAAACATTACGCTTTAATATTCAGTATTTATTTCTCTATTCATTCTTACATTCATTGATCAATTTCATTTTGAATTTGAAGAATCCCAGAAATCCTCTAATTGCAGATAATCATGAATATCAAAGGTATCAAATAGCACTTGCCTCCTATTGATAAAGGAATCGAATTACTCTTAAGAGAATCGGATTTGACACCTTGAACCTCGTGATCCGAGAAACTATCGTTACTTTGAAATTTTAGATAATAAGAAAGCTTTACAAATCTTTAAATTTTCACTCTCAAACATATAAATATATATTACTATATTTACGTAAACCTTTACAAAATTTGGAGTTTCTGGTTAATATATATTTTTTCAAAAAAGGTTCTCGTCTGACGGTGGAGTCATCATATGATTGTTGTCTGCACATCAACATCGACCTGTCATACGGCTAACACTACGCTCTTTTCGAGACAACAGAATACACCGTCAAAATGGCTCTCAGCGATGCAGATGTCCAGAAACAGGTAAAACTAAAGTTATAGATGAACTTTCAATGAATGCATATTTAAGGTAGTATGATATGAACCTCTTTAAGTTATTTCTGCTGTGATACTTTCTCAATGAAAATGTTCCAAGTCCCAAACCAATTGATATCTATGTTTAGTTAGTTTTCTCCGACACGTATTATGGAATTGGATTTGAGAATGGCTTAAAATAAGTATTGGTGATTGGAGAAATAAAATAAGAATGAAGGTCTCGTGATCAGCCTTTTCGAAATGAGATGCCAAAGTACTTTTTCTTTCTATTTTTATTTGTGTAGTAATCATTATGTGTATTTTGTGTGTGTCTGTCTATCTGTCTGTCAAACTGTAGAGTACTTTTCTTGGATGGGGAATATTAAATTTTTTCATGCATGGAAAACAATTTGTTTATATTTGTGCTGAAATTTGACATGAAGACGGGGTTAATATCATAACGGGTTATCAATATTGTATTACAACTCAGTTGTTAACAGAACAGCCTTTGTAGAAATCATGTAATGTTAAGCTGGAGATCCCTCTAGTAGTAGAATTGTATGCAACCTTGATTGGCGCAGTGGCGTTCACTTTCACTTTCATATTTTAAGTTTGAACGAATGAAAAGTTTGATTATATGAAACTATTGTTTATCTGTGCAGAGCTAATCTGCAGATACAGATATGAAAACAAGTGCGCAGAAAAGTCAAAAGAATTTTAAGCACTTAAGATGATTTAGAAAAGAATTAAGCGTAAGTGGCAAGTTACCCGAGAACTACATTTGCGCGGACATAATTTGACCAAATAAATTTTGCGCGGGGAACCAAACTCAACAGTCTGTGGTTGTATATATATAGTTGTATATTAATATATATACACAAATATATATATATTATATATATATATATATATTATATATATATATATATATATTATATATATATTTATATAATATATATATATATATATATATATTTATATAAACATATATTCTGTATCAGCATGAGTTTATAAATAGCAAGGTGGAAGAGGATGTAGATTATTTGCCTTGAGATTTTTCTCTTTTAGAATATAAATGCAAATGGAAAATAATTTTGAAGGGAATTCTAAAGAGTATGAATGCACTCACTGGAGACCTAGTATGGAAAGTACTTGGTTGCGCACCTGAGTGATTTACGGTAGTAAACGAGCAAAATG